ATTATGGGTCATGAAGCACCTTGGATAATCTCCAGAAATCAATATAAAGGGTAATAAAATAATTGCTGATGTAATATTTTCCCTGTAATTATTACAAAAACACAAAATAACTATAAATAAGTATTTATATTTGTGTACAAGCTGTTTAGATTGTCAAAAAACCTGTGTTTTTTGGTTGTTAACAACGTTTGTGTACTCAGACCAGTAATATTTGGGCTCACAAGTTTTTACCGTGGATATTTTGTGGGTCAGAAGATAAAAAGTTTGGGAACCACTGATTTAGAACCATTCAGCCATGTGTCAACACTGTAAAAACTGTCCACCTAAGATTTAAAATCTTATATCCATGAAAAAGTCTTTTTAATCTTGTTTTCAGACTGATTTACTAAACAAGAACTGATTGTGTAAGAATAATCATCTTGTTTTCAGAATGTGTAAGATTATTTGTCTTGTTAGTCTGAAAGTTTGACTCTAATTAAGTCAAACATTTCTGCCAGTGGAGTAAGAACATTTTACTTGGTAAGATTCTTGAAATACTTGATTTAACTCAGTTTTTTCTTATTTCAGTCTCAAAACAAGATCAAAAAGACTTTTTTGGCTGAGATAAGATTTTAAAACTTGGTTAGATGGACAGTTTTTACAGTGAATAGAGGTGAACCAAAAAAATCATTTTACATCAGGATCGTGATTCTCATTTACAAAGATTCAAAATCAATTTTAAATGTCCCAAAATCGATTTTTATAAATGAGAAAAGCAAATCCAATGGCTGTCAGCCTCCATTTTGTAACTACAGGGGATGTCCTGACATCACCACACAGCTGCTTCTGGAATATATGAATGTGCAGAAAGCACCGAAACAAAGAGGAAACTACAGGACTGAAGGACAGAGACATTCAACCAGTCCTGTCTTCACTGAAGGCAAAGATTTGGGCTCATTTTGGTTTTTTACTCAATGAGTCTGAGTTTGACCTGAGCGAGGTGTTCGAGCTTTGCACAATGAAGATGAAGCACTTTGGAAACACGACAAATGGGCTCACTTTATCAGTTTTGAATGAAAAATCGAGTTTGAATCGAATCATGAGAGAGTAAAAGGTTCCCACCTCTAATTGTCAAACCGTACCACGTTACCAGTCAGTGTGCGGACCCCCATCCCACCTGAGCACATGTGTAACCCTGGTTCTCACATGATCAGGGCCCCAAGTGTCATAAAAATATATAAAAATCACATTTTCATTATTTAGGTCATTTTCTGAGTGTTAAACATTTTCCACTAACATTGTTTACCTCACTGTTCTTACATTTTGTTTATTTTTACTAAACATTAAATTTAAATGTTGTGTGTGTGTGTGTGTGTGCGCGCGCACACACACACACACACACACACATTGGTTATTAATAATGAAAATGTCTTAGTGAGATATTTTAACATGTGTGTTTGTGTGTCTGCTCTGAGGAGGATACACAAAAAGCAGACAACTATTGACAACTCAGTTTGTTACATTGTTTATTTTTAAAGCTGTTCAAAGACTGGGATTGTTCCTGATTTAAACACATTATTCAGGAGTCTCAGTCGTTTCAGTCGGACACAGATATTTTTTAAAAGGACTTAGTTAGAATCTCCCAAAATTTGAATTAAATTGAACTTTTTCTTTCAGGAAATTGAATCATTCAAAAGTGAAAAATCAAGGCTTTAAAATAATTCTTCATGTATTTGTGTCGTGTGTGTGAGAGCTGTCAGCTGGTTGGACTGGTTTTGGGTGTTTGTGGTTTCAGACGGTCTGCAGGACAGCTGCTGCAGCGAACACAGGATGGAGGTGTCATTCAGAGGGAAACACGCTCTGGTCACCGGAGCAGGCAAAGGTACCGTGATCAGATCTGTCATCACCAGACCACACCAAACTACAACATCACTCTTATGTTTCCTGTTAGAGACATTGATTTATTTCTGTTTTAATGGACTTAGTTTGTCACTGCTCTAAAACTCAAACGTATCACTTGTTTTTAGTTTTGGGCTCATCCTGTCCTGCACTAATGCACCAGGATCAGTGTTAGAACCAGTTTCTCCTGAGACAGGAAATAAAAAACAAGATGTTTGTGTGCAAACGGAGGTTTCATGTCTGCGCTGTGTCATCAGTTTTTGTGTTTCTGGATGTTCTGGTGTCTCAGGGATCGGCAGAGACTTGGTTTTGGCTCTGGCACACGGTGGGGCAAAGGTCACAGCCGTCACACGGACACAGGCGGATCTGAACAGTCTGGTCCAGGAGGTACAGTCCACCCGGTCTCCAGCAGACCCAGTCCTCATCCCGCTCCCTGCTACATGTGCTTGTTCATATCTTCAGACTAACTCCTCAGTTCTGTCAGAACTTCCTGCTGCAGATTTAATTATCTGGAATCAGCTGGTTATTTTCACCAGAGGTGTCAGGTGATCACGTGAAAATACTTTGTTACCTTACTTCAGTAGAAATGTGTGTTATGACCGGTGGACTGGATCCCACATTTGTCAACGTTAATATTTGAATATAACACATAGTTATTATGAAAACTTTCAACACCTCTGGTTTTACCTGAGACATCCAGGTGATACCTGTGCTTCCTGTGTGGGGTCACTTCAGGTCAGCAGCAGGTATCAGAGCTCCTGCCTGGTTTACATGGCAACATAACTGTGATGATTTGGGGCCTGATTTCTTCTCATGATGCTTGTACAGATAATCCTAGGAGATATTCTTCCTGCTGTGTGTGATGAATGGACTGTACCTGTACAGTGTCTTTCTACGCAACCAGGATACACAAAGTGTTTGTTTCACACCACAATCTGTGTCCTCATTCACACAACACTCTCATCAGGTTTCTACAAAGATAACATGTACAATCATCTGTGTGGTGGACTAATCAGTGCCAATCACATCCATGCACTGATGGGACACACACCGTGGTGTGTTGTATTTGTTGTGTGGCTGTACACACACACACACACACACACACACACACACACACAC